AGTTAAGATTCCGGATAGCTCAGTTGTCTGATTGTACTGATTCAAAAGCCGTTGTCTTCAGAACGATGACGCCATCGAGGGTATGATGTTGATTTATCCGCCAAAGTTAGAGATTTGTGGTGAGATGGGTTTTGGGGTATTGGTGCCCTAGAGGTAACACTATATTTTCTCTTTGTGATTTGATCCTCAAGTTCGGGTGTAACTTTGAAGGATTGTACTCTCGATTGATAGTAGAATATCGCTCTCTGGATTGCCCCATGGACGTAAGCACGATTTGCCGAACCACGTTAAATCTTGGTGTTTGCTTGCGTGTAGTATTTTCATTGGTGTCGTTATTTGTTTAATGTTTAATTCCGCAGATTAATGTTCATAAAATTCCTAATAAAAATAGGAAGAGAAGTGATCAATTCATTTAAAACTCGACCCTCCCCTTCCAATCTGTCCACTTTAGAAGGGTTAAGAAAGTGAAGAAATTTGCTTCTTTTTAACTCTCGTCGTCCTTCCCCTCACTCACTAAAAAATTTATAAACAAGTACAAATTTAGGATGGTTACCATTGTAACCTTTCCAACCCCTTCCCTCTCCTCTTTAAAAAAGCTATCCAAACTCTTAATCTCTTGCTACTTGCTACCTAACACCCATCCAAAGTTTGTTTTGGGCTTCTAAGAAGAAGCAACTAGTTTATAGGAGAGAGAATCATAATGAATAATGATTATTATTCATACAAATCTGCCCAGAGTGTACCCATCTCTTCGGAAGGATATAGGATTCCCCATAACTAGTAGATAAAGTCTACTAAATAAAACAAAATCTGCCAATAACGCAGACAGGCGGGGCGGTGGGCAGGCGGGGGCGGCGCGGCGGGCGGCGGGCGGCAGACGGCCGACGGGCAGCAGGCGACGGCGACGGTGGTGGCGGGGAACAGACCGACCGACGAGCAGCGGCGGCGGCGGCGAGCGGCGGTGCGACGGGCTAGAGGTGGCGGCGGGCGGGTTGGCGGCAGGCGGCGGGCGGTAGCGCAAAGGTGGTGGCGGCAGGCGCGAACGAGCTGGACGAGGCAGCAGCGGGCGGCGGCGGGCAGGTGGCGCGGCGGGCGCGAAGCGCGCGAGCAAGCGACGGACGACCAACGAGCAGCGCGGGCGGCGGTGGCGGACAGACGACGCGACGGGCATCGTTTAGACGAAAGAAACGGCAGCGGGGCGGTAGCGGATCCCGAGCGGTGGCAAGGCTGTGGGCGGCGGGCGGCCGACGAGCATGCGGGGGCGGGCGCCGACGACGCAGCGGCGAGCCGGGCCGCGACGGGCGGGCGGACGGGCGAGCGGGCGGCGGACGGGCGGTGGCTTAGATGAAAAAACGGAATCTCAAAACACCTTTTTGGTGTTTTAAGAAAATCGTTTATTTTTTGGATTTTGTAAAGGGTGAAGTCAAAAAATCGCCCCGGTTGCCAAACACGTTTCATTGTTTTTTTGAAAAAAAAAACGAAAACGGCAAAAACGGCATGGTTGCCAAACGCTCTTAACTATTCTCAAACATGTTCTCATTTCATCTTAAAGGATAAACTCAATACTAACCAATAAAGGAAATACACAATTTAGAAGGTTTTAATCCTTATCTCTATCTCCATACTCATGTTCAAAACTGAAATGAGAAAGACATATCAACCATACATGAGAAACCAGTAACTTATCCAAGAATTGCCAGGAGTTAGTGTCAAACAATTTAGCAAAATTGAAGCAAAGCCATGTGAAAGTTGTTAGAAAAGAGAAAAGAACGCCAAAAGCCCTAACTGAAAGTAGTATGTTGGATCTTATGAGGACAACGTGGATTTCATCATATTTGCAACATGCTACTAACACATTTCATGATAGTATCAAAATTTCATAGGGTCGGCTGGGGCATCGTGAAATTTGATGAAAATGAAATAGAGTAACATTATGCATCTCAAAAATTTTCTGCACCATCAAAAAAAAGTTCACTTATGATATCCAAATTTTCATTCGATCTGCAAAAAGATATACCATTATCCATTAACAATTAAACCTTCAATAATGTACCAAGATAACAAATACTAACAAATAATTTGAACTTTGAAAATAATCAAATTAATACAAACCAAATTTCTGAAAACTAATCTACAAACTGTGGTTCAGTTAAAACTTACAGCCATATTTGCAGTAAATATCTATGAAGAGTTCACATATCCTGCCCACAAAGCATTAGCAGAAACTCTTCTTATTGAGCAATGAAAGAAATCACAATATTATGTGTTTCAGATGCCAATGAAATCATGTTGGTTAAAAGTATCCCAATCGCTCAGTACAAGATCCTCCTGATTCATCATATAGAACAGTATAATTCCTACTGCTCACATTCCTAAAGTAGCAACCATCAGTGCCCTCATATTTATACACTTGCTGAGTACTCCCTAAACCCCCAGTCACCAAATTCCCCTTAACATGCATGCTCCCTTGAGCATTCTGCAAATTTCTCAAATTACTCGAAGCAAAACCAAACTTTTCACCCGAAAACTTCTTCTCATTGAACCCTAATGTTACATTCGATACCAGAGAGTAAGTATCATTCACTTGATCAGAGGTGCCCGTGTACAAGTAAAGCGGAAAGTTCTGAAACACTTGCTCGGAGTACACAACCGAGGATGGATGCTTTGCATAGACACCGTGATTGAAATCTATAGTCTGATTCACTATCTGATCGCTCCCATTCCCTTTGAACTCCATATAGTTCTTGAAATCAAATGTCTGAAAGAAATGGGTCGTGATCTTCCCATATGAAGATTTCACCCATCCAGTCGCAGATATCTCTCGTTTTACAACAGTATCGAACCTCCCATCGAGACCATTGAACTTAGAAATTAATGAAAGCTCAATCTGGGGAGCAGTATACTTAATCAACTCCCCGACAGTTTTCTTGCTCCTACTATCCAACCAAAGGTGCAGATTCGCATCGACATACCAAACATCCAGAGCATCAGAAACACCAAACCCTAACACATGCTTCTTCCCATCCAAAACCCTCTCCAAAAATGGCGTAATCTCAATATCATACGAAGGCAAATCGAAGGATCCAATACCCGTTATCGGTCTCCAAAGTAGAGGATTCACCCCTCCAGTATAAATCACAGTAAAAGGCCACACAGCGCCAACAACACTCCCATCCAAACTCACAACTACCTCTCTAAAAGCCCCATTTCCCGCTAAACTGATATTGTTCTTCTCTATATACTCATTCGGGGGATTTGTGTACCAAAACTCATCATTCTGGTGAAAAGAAACATAAACCTCAAGAACAGCCCGATACACATTCTTCGGGAACAAAACCTCTGAGGTCTGCAAGTCCGCCGAATTTTGGACTTCGAACCATTGCCCGTCGTTCAACGGCAAGGGTCTCGACACAGGCATGACCAAATCCGCAGGGGAGTTGAACCCGGGTGCGACATTGGGCATCTTGGGCTTGTTTGGCTCGCCGAAGTAGAATTCGATCGAGAGATTAACATGGTAAATTCCAGTGTAGGTCTTATCAACAAGGTTACCGACATAGACAGCTAGGGTTTGGGGATGTGATAGAAGAGAAGAGTACCTAGTGATGTCTTTTTCGACGGTCCAGGCGATGCCGGGGTCGGGTCGGGGCTCGGCGGTGCAGCTGCGGAGGAGCTCGACGCCGGAGAGCCAGACGCCGAAGATGCTGGTCGGTCGACTGGCGGCCGAGCAGGTGGACGGACCAGCGGAAGACCGCGGAGGATGGCCGAGAGCGCGGCGGAGGCGGGGCGGAAGGCAGAAGGGAGGGGAGTAGCGCGTGGCTGTGGGGGCGTGCCGTAGGTTGGCGGGCGAAATCGTGGGTGAGGATGGTGAGAGGCAGTTTGAGCTGGGCTTCGAAATGGGTCGAGTTACCTCGAAGAATTTCGTTGGGGATGGAGACTGTGAGTGAGATCGAGGATGAAAATTTTGGGGTTTTTGAGGGTCGGATGTGGTGAGCTTTGCTCTTGGGAGAAATGCAGTGGAGGGTTTGGGAGAGAGGAGGAGGATGGAGAGGAGGAGAGAGAAGAGGGAGGACATTATTGAGAGTTGAGAGAGGAAAGAGATTGGACTTGAGGAAGAAGAGGAGATGAATTTCTATAGGTTAGTTGAGCTGGCGACGAATCTAATGGTGATCGGCTCGGATTGGGATGATAGCTACGGGGGGTTTGTTTTTTGTTTTGTTTTGACTGTTGGATGGTAGTTAACTTTTGGATTTGGGTATGTATTTGCACTTGCTCTTAATAGATTAATTAAGGCTAAATACCCATATTGGTATTTTAATTCCATCCAATTTACCAAGAAGGTATTTTAATTAGTCAAACATGCTTTAAGGTATTTTAATTGATTCAACTTACCAACAAAGCCCTTTTTCTCGTCGCCGACCAGTTTTCCGGCGAGAGCTTGTCACGTGCGTGACACGTGATGCGGCATAAACATGTACCAAAAAGGTTGCAAGTGCACAACCGTGTCAAGTTATAGTATTTAAGATATCGATCCCACGAGGAAGGTGTTTTGTAGGAGAAAATATAAAATCGGTTCTTATGTTGTGTGCGTGACAAATAAGATTGATGAGTGAATGTGATTGATGAGAGGTAATGAGAGTGAAAGTTATAGAGAATGAGTGTGATCAATAAGGCAAGAAGGAAAAAATGAATAAAATCAAGAAACAAATGAAAAATCAAGAATGAAGGACAAAATTCTAGAATAAAAGAAAATGCAAGAAATTAAAGATGGTGGATTCAATTATAGATATGGATAATCTAAAATTGAACCCACTTCTTAGAAAAGGGTGATTCCCTAGAGGGTTCTAGCCTAAAGGCGAATCAAACAAAATAAAAATAAACAAAAAGAAAAACTAAACCCAAGAGGGTTCTAGCCTCAAGGTGAATAGTGTAAGAAATTAAAATATAACTACAAAATAAATTACAAAATCTAAACTACAAAATAAAATTGCAAGAATTAAATGCACGAAAATAAATCTACTCTATAAGCATAAAATAAATCTAAGGCAAGAGGGTTCTAGCCTCTTAGCTATTTAACAAGAAAATAAAATCTAACTACAAACATAGAAATAAATCTAAACTAATAAGCAATAAAAAAGAAAAAGAAAAGAAATGCAAACCTTCAAATAATTCTCCATCTTCATCTTCATCTTCATCATCCAATAAAGAGAAGAAGAGAAAATTTTAAAGTGGTAAAAAAATTATTATTATTAATTGCAACAAAAGTTACAATTTTGGAAGGCCTTCTCAATTAAGAGTAGCCCTCCTCTACAAAAGGAGTTACAAAAATTTTCACACCCTTAACCCCTCACTCTCTACCCCTATTTATAGTAATCTTCAATGAATATGAGCCATTGGATTTGTCTTGAGCCCCAAGCAACAATCTCCACCCTTGAATTTTCTTTTTGTTCTTCTTTAGCCCAACATAGGAGGCCCATATGATTTTTAAAAGAAAATGAAAATCTCTTCTTCAACAATAAAATCAAGTCCGGCCCATGAGAATGATTATTTGATGAAGTTCCAAGTCTTTGGCCAATTCAAGCATCCAAGTCCAATGAAGCATTTGATTTTTTTTTTCGGAAAAATCCAACTCTGCAGCCCAATAAGTCCGGTCATTTGGTAATCTGCAGCACATCAAGGTCTGGCCTCAAGACATTCATTTGATTTAAAACGAAAATGAAAATCAAAATTGAAGAGCAAAGCCCATGATTCATTTGATTTTGAAAATCAAATGGAAGAGCAAAGACCGGCCCATAGCATTTCAATTTCAAAATTAAATAAAGTCCGGCCCACAACTTCCAAACTCTGCAGCAGGTTCGGTCATGAGAATCACTTCAAAGCTTTGCATAAAAACCCCTAGTGGACGAGTTGTAGTCTCGTGAGGGTTTGCAGTGAATATACCCACAAAATTCGGTCAACTTGCCAAATTAAAGAAGTCAGTAAATAACTAAATTCACTTGATAACTTTTAGATAATCTAATTGGAGCCAGTTATCACTCAAGAAAACATTTTTATATATAACTCTAAGGTATATTTTTCAAGAAAATCTTCTCATTGTAGCAATACAAAACCAAGCCAAACTTAGAAATTTAATTTAAAAGTTTTGAAAAGAACATGCTAACTCTTTGTTTTAAATAATTTTCAAGTTGCTTGATTTAAAATATTTTTCAAGACCATATATACAACTATAAAACATTTATTAATTTTTTTTGTTTTTTTAACTCTTTCATCCTTGGTGATTTTTTTTCTACTTTAACGGGCTTTCTAAGTGACCTTTTAACGAGTTTTAGGCCAATGGATCCCAACCCAATTGGGCTTAGGTCATTAAGTATGGAAATACTCCTTGGGCTTAATTACTCGGTCAGCTTAAGCTTTATAAGATAGAATCACCTAGAATTCAAGAGTATTATTTTTTTTTCTTTTTGGTACCCATTTTTCGCACTCTTCTTTTGCAATTTTTTTTTTGTATATGTATATATATTTTGAAAATATGTAAATCAAGACACTTTAAAAAAAATTATTTTCAACTCTAAGTTAAGCATGTAAAAATTTCATTATTTTAAATAAAAGTCCAAGTTAAGGCTTAAGTAAAGTATACTACTTTAAAAATTATTTCTTAAGAAATTTATTTAGAGTTATCATAAAAAGTGAACTTAAGTAAATAACCAACTAGGGATTAGAAAATTTCAAATTTATTAAATAAATTAATTATTACATAACTCTATCAATTTGGCAAGTGACGATATTTTTATAAATTTTTTTTAAAAAAAGAAAAAGGGGAAAATGTAACTAAAAATATAAAATAAAGAGAAAAAATAACTAATTCTCACCCCCACACCTAAATTTTGCATTGTCCTCAATGCAAACTCTATGATGCATAAAGTAAAGCAGATAAGAAGTGAAGCACTTACATTTGGTCCGCTGATAAATATCTGCAATTACCTTTGGTCTGAAGAGGATGAAAACAAAAATTTATTCTTCTTTCTTTTTTTTCCTTTTTTCTTTTTTTTCTTTTTTTTTGAAAGCTGAACAAGAAACTCCCACATGAGAGAAGAATAAATTCTTTTTATTATTCTGAAATAAACAAAATAAACAATGTAGAATGAAATATTCAACATGAAGAGTTTCTGTTCTACATTGAATCCTACCTTACTGTTGAAAATTCTTCCCCGGATTTTAAACAAATTCAGAATGATATAATCAATAATGTGAATTTTTAAGCATTTCGGGGTGTTCAATAAGTGTTCAGTAATTCTTTCAACAAAGTAAGGTAGGTATTATTGGTGTCATGCATTTTACATTTCTTAATGAACTTAGACTCTTGTACTGTAAAGTTTTATTTTCTAACAACCAATTCTTCTGTGAAGTTCTGAAAATTTGGTTGTTGATTATTCTCCAAGAATCTAAGTTCATCAAGAAAGAGTTCTTCAAAATTTAATTCAAAACAGTACATGTTTAACACAGTTTTTATTAATCTCAGGGACCTGATCTGCTTCTTCTAAAAACTCTAACTCTTCATCAAAAATTTCCTCAAAACTTAAATCACACTCTTCTTCTTCTTCTTCTTCTGATCTTTCCTGAATGTAGTTTATTTCTAGAGGCTGATTATTTGGTTGGTCCCCTGGATTAAAAATGTTGAGATCAGCAGTCAAATTCCCAAAGGACAGCTTCATTTGACCAGTTCTACAGTTGATGAGAGCATTAGAAGTGGCTAAGAACGGTCGTCCTAAGATGACAGGTGTCTGTCCTTTAGGATTGGAAACAGGCTGTGTTTCCAAGACTACAAAATCTACTGGAAAAATAAAATCTCCAACCTTAATCAGAACATCCTCTAACTCACCCATAGGGACCTTGACAGATCTATCAGCCAACTGTAAGGTGCATTTGGTTGGGTTCAGTACACCTAGACCCAATTGCTGATAGACTGAATATGGAAGCAAATTGACACTGGCCCCTAAGTCTAAAAGCGCCTTATCAATGTGAGTATTACCAATGATACATGAAATGATGGGGGAACCTGGATCTTTACGTTTCAAAGGTATGGGATTTGACAGCATTTCACTGATATTGGCGGCTAAAAAGACTATTTATTAAATAAATTAATTATTACATAACTCTATCAATTTGGCAAGTGACGATATTTTTATAAATTTTTTTTAAAAAAAGAAAAAGGGGAAAATGTAACTAAAAATATAAAATAAAGAGAAAAAATAACTAATTCTCACCCCCACACCTAAATTTTGCATTGTCCTCAATGCAAACTCTATGATGCATAAAGTAAAGCAGATAAGAAGTGAAGCACTTACATTTGGTCCGCTGATAAATATCTGCAATTACCTTTGGTCTAAGGAGGATGGAATCAACATTTTGTTCTTCTTTCTTTTTTTCTTTTTTTTCTCTTTTTCTTTTCTTTTTCTTTTTTTTCTTTTTTTTTGAAAGCTGAACAAGAAACTCCCACATGAGAGAAGAATAAATTCTTTTTATTATTCTGAAATAAACAAAATAAACAATGTAGAATGAAATATTCAACATGAAGAGTTTCTGTTCTACATTGAATCCTACCTTACTGTTGAAAATTCTTCCCCGGATTTTAAACAAATTCAGAATGATATAATCAATAATGTGAATTTCCAAGCATTTCGGGGTGTTCAGTAATTCATGCAACAAGGTAAGGTAGGTATTATTGGTGTCATGCATTTTACATTTCTTAATGAACTTAGACTCTTGTACTGTAAAGTTTTATTTTCTAACAACCAATTCTTCTGTGAAGTTCTGAAAATTTGGTTGTTGATTATTCTCCAAGAATCTAAGTTCATCAAGAAAGAGTTCTTCAAAATTTAATTCAAAACAGTACATGTTTAACACAGTTTTTATTAATCTCAGGGACCTGATCTGCTTCTTCTAAAAACTCTAACTCTTCTTCAAAAAATTTCTCAAAACTCAAATCAGACTCTTCTTCTTCTTCTTCTGATCTTTCCTGAATGTAATTTATTTCTAAAGGCTGATTATTTGGTTGGTCCCCTGGATTAAAAATGTTGAGATCAGCAGTCAAATTCCCAAAGGACAGCTTCATTTGACCAGTTCTACAGTTAATGAGAGCATTAGAAGTGGCTAAGAACGGTCGTCCTAAGATGACAGGTGTCTGTCCTTTGGGAT